GAAGACATACCGCTGTGCCACTGGGGGGGGGGGGCGTTAGAAATCCTAATTATATATTTCTTTTTCTTTTTTTGTGTGTGTAAAAAACACAAAAAATTATAAGTACGTTACAAGGAAATGATGGAAAGTTTTGTTACAACTGTTACAAACTACTGTTTGAAATATGTTTGCTTATTGTTAAGCAGAAAGCTACATTGTTTACTATATATGATGTGGCCACCACAGAGATTAAACACTGAATCTTAGCGTTATAAGCCCTCAAGCTGACCGCTTAGTTAACAGGTAACATTTAAAGTATTGACAGACCGTTTTGTTTTTTCAGATTTTGCTCAAATGTGTAGCAAGTGTTGCTCACGACAGCTACGGTACCATGTCATTTTTCAAGGCAGAAGGTGTTGGGTCCATGTAATCAACGATATAAACCCTTCCCCCACATAAGACAACGATCTTAATGATACCAACCCATCTTTCTTGTTATAATGCAATGGTCTTACAGATATCAACCCTTCCCTCACATAAGGCAATGATCATAACGATATCAACCTTTTCTCCACATTTCACGGCAATGACCTTAATGACACCAGCCCTTTTCACCACATGAAAGGGAACGGTCTTAACGATATCAACCCTTCCCTCACATAAGGCAATGATCATAACGATAGCAACCTTTTCTCCACATTACAAGGCAATGACCTTAATGATACCAGCCCTTTTCACCACATGAAAGAGAACGGTCTTAACGATATCAACTCTTCTCTCACATGATCAGACCAGTGAAACTATTTCTAAAATGTATGTATCTTTTAAGATTTGGTCTTTCTTTGAAACATTTTTTCAAATAATTTCTTATTTTAGTTTTTAGATCATTAGGTCAAATGAAAGTCATATATGTGCTTCGGTTCCTATGTACTACCTGGGCCATTTTCTAAGAAAACCGTTTAATTTGATTTCTTCATATATGAGTAGTCCTCCTCCTCCTCTACGTGTTTTTTTTATTTTTCATTCAGATGTCCATGTTAAGGCTATTTTAAGATTCTCTTTTGGATTTTTTTCTTAGAATGTGACATATCCATTTCCAATATTTGACTTCTTCACTTACTTTTATGCTATTTCGAATTCCTTCATGGGGATTTTCAGCTATTGGTGCATCGATATTCCTAGTTGTCCGACATGCTCTTACCCTTTGCAATGAACAGTTTTCTGACAGTCATAAGATAATTTTAACTGTCGCCTGAGATATAAACACCATTTCCTATACAGTTACGATTCGTTGTTGTTGTTTTTCACTGAAGCAATTATTATTAATGTATCCGATACTCCTACTTATCTAACGATTTCTTTCTCTCTCTTTTTTTAAGTAACCCTTCAGCTTTAGTGTAGAGTCGTTTTATTGTTTCTTTGAGATTTAATATGAGCCTGGAAAATTCATTTTTAGTGGACTTCAACGTACTCAGGCTGCTTCCAAATAACGTGAGCAGCAACTTCGTCGTGTTGCTCTTCAGATCATACAACACTTGTTGAAAACGCTGTAGCAAGTAATATTTCCATCTCTGGTTTAGAATGGCAAGAAAATGACTTATTTGAAGAATCCTGCAGTGATGATGTATCATAACATGTTGCCCATTTCCACCATGCAATACTGTGCCAACTTATCTTCTCGAATATCACGAATAAAATACCTCAAAATCTGATATAGGTTTTAAAAAAAAGGAAAACAAAAAAATCTGATGAGCAAATTATCGCTGAGAATATTTACCAACTTCTCATGAACTCTGATAAACAGTCTTACATTCGGTCTATCGGTAGTTTTGCCTCATGCAATTCGGAGTCCTACTCTAGCGAAGCGAGAATTTGGCAAAACGTTCCTGTTGCATTTAGTGTGTAAACACATCCAGAAATCTGGGTGCCACGAAGAACATTCAGGTCATGGAGTATTTGTCAGTATTCACGTGTGTTTCTAAAGATCTTAATATCATGAGTATTTTTGTTTTTAATTTTAGAACACATACTTATATTTCTTTTGCTTCCTATAGCATATAATATATGAATTTATAAAATACTTTAAATAAGTTTCTTCGGGGAGTAAAGGACAATGAGCACAAACTACAATTCACAACTATAGGAGGACTAGTCGTCAGAAAAGGGTTTAGAGGGGGTGGGCAGCTCGTCTCACTTTTTGTCTGTGGGATACATAACCCATTTATGATAATTAAGTAAAACTTTTAGGCCACCCCATCTCCCCACATTTTGATCCCAAATTTCTCCCATACTGGTCGTATTCCTTGTTTTATCTGGGTTAACGTAGTGGTAAATGACAAATCCAAGAAGAAACTGGTCCTTACTTTATTTCTCGCCAGATACAAAGTTTTGGTGAAGAAGCAATTACAGTTCTTTAAAAAGAAGACTACTAAACCTTTAAGAAACAGTTTGTTTATAGAGAATATTATATCAATTGCGTCTGAGTTTTAGATATGGAATTAGTGTAATGAAATTCGATCTATCCATATGTTCGGAAATAAGAAAAGTGTTTCAGAGCAAAGCATATTGAACACCAATACTGTAAAATCAAAATGATACTTCGGGGAATTGTGAAACTTATATAAATCAAATGATACTTAATTTATATTGTTTTTAAAATTTTCAAATTCAACAGAATATATATATTTGTTTTTAAAGCTTGTAGACTTTGAGTGGATTATTTTAAAAAATTGGTTGACCTAGAAGTATAAAGTCACATTAAAAAAAAAGATAAGATAAGCACTTTAAAATTACAAAGATATCTCAAATTATATCTTAATACCGGCAGAAGAAGCATACGTATTTAAAATTTACAGGAACAATAAGTTAGCAAAAATGTGATTTATAAATTTGATTACACTATCTAAAGTGTCCCCCTGTGGAACAGTGGTAAGTAAGTCTTACTAAGACTTACAATGCTGATTTCCAGGGTTCGATTTCATGTAGTGGACAGAGAAGATAGCCTACTGTGGCTTTGCTTTAAAACAAACAAACAAATATTGTAAAATGGTGTTTTTCAAGCTTTTTTATACAGCGCCCCCAACTCTCACAGACTCTTTAAATACCAGTAAAAATTCTAATATGCTACTATGACTAAATATTACAAATGTTAGTTCCCCACAAACATATATGTATGTATATAAGTATACAGTAGCCTTCTGGTGGTTCAGCGATAAGCTTAAGGGATTATAACCCTAAAAATCTGGTTTCGATACCTGCAGTGGGCGAAACACATTGTGTAGCTTTGCGCTGAACAACAAATAGACAGAATGTGCAGTAATGTAAATTTTGTGAAAGATACTACTTACCTATTAAAAAATTAGTGCGGTATTGTTATATTTTGTTTCGAAACCTCACTGCCACCAGGAAACACTACGCGTCGCCCCTGGGAGTCAATCGCCTGAGTTTAAGAACCATTGCTCTAAGGCAGGAGCAAACAATCTTCTCATCGTATGGCATTATTCTAGATATGATTATTATTTGTTTGTTTCTGTTGTCAATATTGTTGTTTCTAAAGAAAAACCAATAGTTGATTATATCATATAAGTGTATTAACTAAAACAATAAGGTAAAGTAGAGATTACTAAGTAGTTTATCACTACTGAAAGTTATTACGTATACGAAACTCTTACATTATTAGAAAAATCTAACAAAAATAACAACTCCTTTTTTTTAGGAACAGTTTTGATAGCTGCCACATTCCCTTTCTTATTTAATAAGTGTTTAGGATGCGCCGATAGAGACCAATGGCTTCAATTTGCGTATTATGGGGTGTTCGTTACGATTTTTCAAATTGGCTGGGCTGCCAACCAGGTGGCGCACGTATCACTAATCACCGATCTGACTCCATTCTCTGCAGAACGAGTGGAATTAAATGCATACAGGTAATTATATCGACTTAAAAATGTACATGCTAAGCAATCATTCATATATTTCCTTTCGAATTTTATTTCATTTGACTGAAACTTAAAATTAGATGCTGTCTACCTGTGAGGCTGATAGGAAAAACCTTTATTTTATTAGTTTTTTTGTTAATGTTTGTAATATTTCAATGGTAACATCCACAGACACAATAATGGCTCTAATCTGATTGTTATGTAATTTGGATTAGGCATAATCTCATTCTAGGGAAGTTTTGGTGAATGGACGTTGTATGTACATTCAAATATTCAAGATAATAAAAAACGCAGAGAATCCAGGTTCATTTTGGCGCTTTGAGTGCATTATAAGAGTGACAATCAAATCCCACTATTCTATTAGTGTAGCCCACGAGCCTATGGTAAGTGGTGTTGACTTGTTGCCTTCCCACTGCAAAATTAGGGATGGCTCGCGCATATAGCCTTCGAGTATGAGCATAGTGTGTTTCAAATACTATACACTTTTCTTCATCTTGCATAACCCTCAGGAACTGAATATAGTGTGTTCTTAAAGATATAATAGGCCTAATGCTAATGTCTTAAGACAAGTGTAATTAAATGTAATAATACCTCGCCACTTAGAAAAGCGTCACACCATAACAATTGCTGGAAAGACTTCTCCACCCCTTCCCCCAATTCTGCGTAGATATCATTATGTAGACTACTTTTAATATGTTGTACGTGTAGTCCAAGATCACTCATTTCCAAAGATGCGATATCGGTTTAAGTAAACTAAATATATTTAATTCATAATGAAAAACGAACAATCGTAAGAAAATATTAACTTCTGACTTCATTTTTTTGAAAAATGAAATGGTCTTTCCTTTTACTCCCGATCAACAATCAAATATATTTTCATGAATTATGAATAACACGAATGGATTGAAATATTTAATTAAATTATCTCAAAATAAACCTTCATTTTGGTGCAAGATTGAAATTAGCTTGAATTCTTCATAACCTCTGAATAGTGGGTGGCCCAATGGGTCATGGGTGGTCTGATTAGTACTAAAGGCAGAATAAACTGTTTTGAAAAAAGCAGAAAATGTAATTTTTTTCTGTGTCAGCAACAATTGTAACATTGTTATAAGCAACAACTGTGACATTGTTATACAACAGGAGAAAAAAAATTTAATTTGTGATTTATTTGTCCAACTCACTAAATGATCTAAATCCTTTTGTAAATCAGCAGCATCCTCTTCACAGCTAGCAACACCAAAGACCAGTGAATTTAAGTAATTTATTGGCTATTCCTTCATCTATGTCATTGATGTAAATTAAAATGAGTAAAGGTCCTAAGACTGAGCCCTGAGGGACCCCACATATGATATTTATCCAGATTGACTGA